TGAGGCGCGGCACACGCGGTCACGGGTACGAAACCATCAGAAGGCCACGTGAAGCGGCTAGCGTGCGGGTCGCTGCTCGGCGCATAGGCCGGGCCTCGCCATCAGAGGCGAAGCGGCCCGCCGCTCGCACCACGCCTTCCGGCCCCGACGAGCGGAACTTGTGGCCAGCGCGCGACGAGGCCTCGCAGAGCGACGCCAGCTCGAAGAAGCATGTTCTCGCTCGTGGAACGTCATCGGGCGCGCGGCGGCGGCGGTGGCTTCGCGACCGCGCGGCCGCATCCGCAGACTTGTGGCGCGGGGACCGCGTGCTCAGGGGAGGGCGGGAGGGGAGGGGGGGGACCGGACCGCCCGTGAGCGCGCACGGATCGGCCGCCCCGACGCCGCGCGACGGCACGAGAACGCTGTGGCGGATGCCGTCAATCGAGCGAGGTGGTCAGCATGCGTGAGCGAAAGCCCGAGCTCGCCGGAGGCGCGTCGCAGCGGTAACGCGAGCGTCCGGTGCGCCGCCTCCGACGTGCTTCCTAGCAGGCCGCTCACGCGCCGACAGGGAGGTCTTGCCGCAGCACAGGGGGCAGCTCGCTCCCGGCTGGCGTCCTCCCCGCGCCGCTCCCCGTCATGTCTCATTTTCCTCCTCTCTCCCTCCTCTCTTCGCTACCTTCCTCCTCAGCCTCCATCAGGCAGCATGTGGTCGCACCCACACCTTCGTCGTACGGTAGTAAGCGCGTCATCCTCGTCCTTCTATTGTCGGTCATTCTGGGCGGGTCGGCGTGCGGCGCCGCGTAGCAGCGAGGGTCGCGGGCGGGCGTCGCGTCGTGTGGTCCGCCGTGCGTGCGCATTGTGTTCGGTGCCAGTGTTGCCCGTTGTGTGTGAACGTACATGCCGCAGGTGGTGCACTGGAACGGCCCGGCGTGCCTGATGGATCAGCATGTGGCCGCATCGAGATGGGAGGCCTGATCGAGCAGGAGCCGTGATCGGCGGCACAGCAGACGGGTGCAGCGAACATCTTATCGTCAGGGCCTGACCGATGGTGCGGCTGGCGCACTGTTGGAGCCGGTGAACGCCCCCGTTGTTTTGCAGCAGCAACGACCAGGCGCCACAGAGCTGGGCACGTGTGAGGCTAGCCTCTGCTCTCCCGCCAAGCGCCCCTGGCAACACAAAGATCAAGGAGAGGTGTAAAAGCTAGAGATGATCGGTGATCTCTTCATCTCTCGCCACTGTCGTGTGTATACGGGATCAATGCCCCTTCTATACTCTCAGTCTCATATCTCTCAATTTTTCCCTCACTTCCTCTCTCTTCTCTCCTCGTCTCTCTTTCTGCTCTCTTATCTCTCTCCTCTCTCTCTCCTCTCTCTCTCAGGTCGCTCTCTCTCCTCAGATCTCATCTCTCTCATCGCTGCGTCCAGTCTCTCACTCTCTTCTGTCTCTCTTGCTCCTGTCTCTCTCGACATCGCTCTGTCTCCTCTCCAGGCAATTGTGCACCCATACACTCGGATAGATCGAGGCGAGGTCGCCTAGTAACGGCTGATGCAGCATGGACAGAACGGCGAGCGCCGCCCGCCTTCGCTCGTTGAGCTCTCCCGCGCAGCCACCGTGCTGCGGAATCGAGGATGCGATCGAGCGCATCGCGACACGCGAAGGCGCGCTCTTCCGCAGCGCAAGCAACTCTCCCCGCTGGCCGTGCTACAGGCGGGACTACCCTCTCACCAGACGTATCCCCTAGGCATATGTTAACAGCATCCGCTCCGGGGGCGGAGAGGGAGCCCTGATGTCCGCGGACTGCGATCACATCACCCGGGCGCCGCGCCGCCCCGCCCGGCCGAGCCTGGCGGACCCGCTAGTCCGCGTCATCGGAAGCAGACACGCGGATTGCGCCAATTTGAGCAAAATGGCTCCCTGTTGTCCGAGAATAAGCAACCTCTCCGAGCCAAGTTCGGGTGGATTCCGTAGAGTAGCTAGCAGCGCAACGCAGTGAGCTGAGCGGAGGACTAGAGCCCCTCATTGTTCGCGTAAAAGGTGAGTCCTATACCGGTGGACAAATGCACGACGGCGCGGCACCTCGCCTGTTGGCGGCGGCCGGACTGATTGATGTCGCGCCCGTGGCACGAGCGCGCGACGCGCTACTAGGCCTAAGAAAAATATTGGCTTGTTTTTCGCCTTTATCCGACGCGACTCGCCAAATACGCCGCTACTCAGCGGCAGCAGTTTTGTTGACCGAGCCTATTAAAACAAAACAAAAATTGATTATCGTTTCGCTCAAAAAAATATATTGAATTCGTTATAGCTGAGCAGAATATACCAATATCACCATTTACACCACAATCTTGTCAAAACAAGCATACAAAATATCTATTCGATCACACGCAAGAAACATACCTAGCTATAATATACTCGCGTACGCGGAGAACAGCAGGGAGAAGTGATGGAGAAAGAATAGGGCGGGTGGAGACAGGAGGGGGCGAGGGCATGGGACGAACCGGCCTGAGGGGCGGGGACGAGTGGCTGGCCGACCCGCCACAGGGAGTCTACTAAGAAAAGGTCACTATGTCCCGCCCGCCCGCCCCGCCCGGAGGGGGGGAGCGGGGCCACCCCCGCCCGGGCGGGTGCGTGTTTTTGGGACGACGGGAGGACTGAGAGGCGAGCTAGCGATAAAGGGGAATACAAACAATGTTTTACAGGCGTCGGCACGACTAAGGCCGGCACCGCAAAACGACATTGAATACTCCGCACGCCACGGGACGAGGTCTAGACTAGGGGTGCACCAGCCCGCACGCGCTAGCACCACCGGTTTGACGGCAATGTTGTACAGAAACCTGGGTGAGGTGTCGGCGTGTGCAGTGCGAGGGCAGTCAGTAAGGCGCGCCTGAAGGGCCTCGTTCTGGTCCATATCAGGGTACACAGATAGTGCTATCGCGCCGGCCCGAGGTACATATATGTATACACAAAGTGTACCAACTTGTACTACAAGAAGTGTCTAACCTAACCCTAACCCTCGCAACCCTAACCTAGCCCCTAACTCCTAAACATAGCCTCATATAAAAAAATACACCACTGACTAGGCTGCGAAACAGCGGCTAAACTAAACCGTTCGGCTAACGATATCCTGTTGTGTAGGGGCCGGCCCCTGATAGGCGCAGGAGGACCGAGCCCGCCGCCGCGCGCCGCGCGAATCTGCACACGTAGCGAGGGGGGGCTGACCGCAGGCGACGAGGAAGGCGTCAGAGGCACTCGGGCACCGCCCACGGGGGTCTAGTCATAGAATGCAGCGCCAGGTGGGCGCGCGGACCGCGTGACGCGACGAGGCAAAATGAGCTACAAGAGCACAGCCTCGCGATCTCATAAGGACCTTCATGAAGCCACTCTCTCCGTCACCCACGTGACACGTGTGACCTGTGACACTCGATCCAGTGACATGTGACATGTGACACTATGCACATCTTACATGTGACATATACATTGACATAGCGACCACTATGTGACAGTCGTACTGAACATGTCGACATGTAATGTAACATTGTCATCAGTGCCCCACAGAAAACCGCAGCCTAGGGCTCGGACGCGCGAGCGGCGCGGGCCCGCGCGTTCTGCCCTAGTAAGACCGCAAACCGAACACCAAGCACATCGCCACCGGTCGGGCGGGGGCACCACCAGCAGGGAGCAGCAGCCCAGCAAGCAGCCAGCCACCCTACCATCACCACCACCAGCAGCAGCCAAGCACCACCACCACCAACCAGCAGCAGCACGCAGCACGCAGCAACCCACACCACCACAGCACGCGCAGCAGGCAGCACCACGCACCAACACCACCAGCAGCAGCAGCCAGCAGCAGCCAGCAGCAGCACCCACCACCAACCAAACACCAGCAGCAGCAGCAGCAGCAGCCAGCACCACCACCAGGCAGCAGCACCACCACCATCTATACATTGAAGTGCTACATGATCGTTTGCTGGCAAATGATTAAAAATTGGCTCGGACTAGTGATGCTATGCTAACGTTGGCGGGTTACGATGATACTATGTAATTCCAGTGCTCATTATCATGCTCAATCCAACCTGTCAACAGTCCGCCGTGTATTCACGACAGCAGTTAAGAGTAAAAAATACGCACCCCATGGCGCGCACACGCTGACCACACAAACTCACACACGACGCATCGACACAACACACGCACACGGAGCCGACGGACCTGAACACATGCGTGGTTCACACGCACCGCAGCACACAACGCTCGACAGGCCTCACACACTGCACAGCACGCACAAAACCCAAAACGGGGGCAAAACCCCGCCCGACGACGCTGACACAGGAGAGAGAGAGAGAGAGAGAGAGAGAGAGAGAGAGAGAGCGACAGGGAGAGGGGGTGCGTGGAGAGGAAGACTATGGTTAATACCTTATTATTGGTGCTGTGAGGCAAGAGAAAGGAGTGGATAAGTTTTAAAACACTGATCTGGGTATTAAGAGAAAGAGAGGTGGGGAAGAAGAAGGAAAGAGAGAGAGAGAGCTAGGAAGGTAGTCTTTAATACCTAAATGTCAGTGCAATAAGGAGTGAGATGAGGATGGTGGGAGAGGAGGATAGGTTGTAATACCTCAATGTCAGTGCTGTGTACTGAGTCATGGTCCGTCACCGACGAGTGTGACTCATCCTCACTGTCATTGAGACCGCGTTTCCGTGACGACGGCAACGACTTCACTACCTCACTGCCGGCGCTATTTAATAATAATCCCTGACTCTTGACAGCCGTCGAAATATTCGCATCCGTCTCACCCATCATAGTGCTAGCGCCATCTATTGCTCACAAGACCTGAAACATGAATCAGTGAAACCATTATAGATTATAATTATTAAAAATCATTATGCGACATTAGTTGTGGTTATCTACATAACTTCCTAACTAATTTTCTTGTAAACAATTATATTTTTTAACTAAAATTAAATAACAGTTTTAAAGTTTCACGAACACACAGTTGCACACGCATGTACACGCACGACTCCCTGCAAAACACACAAGTACACCCAAACACCACCAGGTGGTGTATATGCATTTTCTTGGTCTAAACGCTCTATAGGCTACGTTGATTACATGATCCTCCGAGTTATATTTCAACACGTTTGAAGTTTAAAAATTATTCGGTCGCCAGTCATTAGTAGCGTCTAGCTATGATAACTGAACCACACACGTACAACCTACTCACAGCGGCATTTGAACCAGTATTCTGGGGGATATATGCCACCAATAATTCTGGGATTATTCATGACTACCATCTCGCGATACCGCCGCCGTGTGAGGCGACCAACGGCAGCGCGTGGCTGCTGCCGATTGGCTGAGATCGATATCTAACCACTAGTCATTAGAAAGAAGGCCGCGGTAGCTAATCCGGCTTTCTTTCTTCCCTCGCCTCATCCATGAATCCTCCTCTAACACGCACGCCGCATGCTGACAGCCACACAGAGCTATCACTATCTCACAAATCTCTCCCGCACCCACAACAAGGTAGCCGCGCGCCATTCCTCTGCCCAGCGGTCAGCAACTCAGTGGATGCAATCGTAAAAAAACGATCGGAGGGCTTAGTGACCCGACGACGGTCATGCCATGCACGACCCCCGCTCACTCGCCCCCGTGTCCATCAGATATAAATATGACCTCGGATCATCCTACAACATTCATCCAATAAATGAGCCTCACTGTCACGCGGCGTATTCATTCACGTGTAATCACGGCGTCATTGTATGTGCGTGATCATGAAGCGTCGTATTGTGTGTCACTGTCTGATAATGACTTGCTGTCCTACACCGACACACACGTAGACACAGCCACACACACACGCACGTACGCCCGCGCACGAACAAACATGCGCACACCCACATACACACACGCATACACACACACACAGTAAGCACTCTACACGTACTCTCTCTCTATCTCTCTCTCTCTCTCTCTCTCTCTCTCTCTCTGCAGTTTCCGTTATGCTATTGCTGCCACATCCAGTGCTTTTGTGCTGGTGCTGGGCTGGTAACGGGGCAAACGCACCGTCACACAGGTCATCACTTTTACCTGACCCAATGTACTTTCACCGTGCTCGCGGGCCACCGACACCGCAGTTGACTTTGTGCTTGGCGGCTAACTAACCGTGTACATGCGCGTACGTGCACACGGCTTAAGAACAGATGCATGGGCACATCGCGACCGTGCTGTATTACTCTACATCCTATAAAGAGTAGATAATAACAATCATGTTAATATCAGGAGTTAATAAAGACAAATATGTCTTTATTTGTCTTTATTTGTCTTTATGTCTTATTTGTCCGTATTTGTCTTTTTACACAAAATTTGTCTTTACCTACTCTTGGTCCTATTTACACAGGCGTATATGGAGAGCTATATAACGTACAGTAATGTGTGCGCATGCGCGCGTCGACACTTCGTACAAGTGTGCGCGCGAGACGTACGCGCGTGGACACCGCATGCGCTAGTATTACCTCACCGCATCTGCACGCACGCATGTATGCGAGCGACCATGAGCGCGCGTACGGGCGTGTTTACTACTGTACCGGAACGAAGTACACAACCATCCACGAGTAAACAAACATTACGTCATGATCTGAGTACGCAGACGTCACAAGATCCGTGTATATAGATAGCCGCTATAGTCAGTCAGCCGCTGTCCGCGCTACGTGGATTACGCAACGACTACGGGCAGGATGGGAACAGGATGGCGTTCTCATCATGACGTCACGCGCATCTCATCATTCTGCTTCCATCCGTCTATCTACCTACATTATTATGAGTATCCTCTTACTACTATCACCTCAACCAGTCGTATCACCGCTGCCATCACCACCAACCATGCATCGATTTTCCAATCCAAACACCCAGCCACACATCAATTCACCCATCCACGCATCCATTCATCCATAAATCTGTTCATTTCCATCCATCCATAAATCAGTCCATTTCCATCCATCCATCAATCAATCCATTCAATCAATCCATTCATTCAACCATCTATCCATCCATTTCTCCTCTTGCCTGTCCGCCCGCCCGTCCGTCTGTCCGTCTGTCCACCCGTCCGTTCATCCATCTATCCATCTATCCACCCATTCAGCCACGTACCCAACCATCCCGATCACCTTAGCTTCCCTTGTACTGCCCATATCATGAGCTAATCCATGTTACTCACTCCGTGCTCCTTGCGGAGATGCATTCTGAATTGTCCTGTATAAAGCTCTATACCAGCCGTCGGATAGAAGAATGCCTGCACGGACCCAAACACACACACGCACGCACGCGTACGTACGCAGGCACGCGCGCGCACACACGAGAGAGATAGAGAGAGATGCACGCTCTGCACGCTAGCTGCCATCAACACTCGACCGTCATACATCGGCTGCGAATCCGTGAACACTGCCTTCATCACTCTACCTGCCTGACTGCTACCTGCTGACTAGCCATCCGAGGCAGCAGAGAGAAAGGCGGAGGGCGGAGGGAGAGGTACTGGAGGGCCGTTGCCATCGCGGTGTGATCAGCCGCAACTAATGGCTGCAAGCAGTGAGAGACAGCTAGAGCGGGGGAGATAGAAAGGAAGAGAGGTGTAACGGCTGATGCAGCATGACAGACGGCAGTCGCGCCTTCGCTCTGGCTCTCTGCCGCACCGTGCGCGAATCGAGATGCGATCGGCGCTCGCCACGCGAGCCCCTCTTCCGCACGCAACAACTCTCCGCGCTGCCGCGCTACACGACTACCCTCTCACCAGACATCCCCTAGGTTTGTTAACGCTATCGCCCCGCGCCCTGATCCGCCTGCGATCACATCACCGCGACGCTATCGCGTCATCGAAGACACGGATGGACCATTAGCAAGAACTCCCTGTTGTCCGAAAAACAAACTCTCCCGAGGCCAGTTCGGGTGATTCCGTAGATAGCTAGCCAGCAACAGTGAGCAAGGAGGACTAGCCTCATTGTTCGCTAAGTGGGGACCTTAGCGGCGGACAATGCACTCGCCTGTTGGCGCGGCGACTGATATGTCCGGCCGTGCACGCGCGCACGCTGCTACTAGGCCTAAGAAAAATATTGCTTGTTTCCCCTTTACCGACCGACTCGCCAAGACTCGCCAAAACGCCGCTACTCGGCACATTTTATTGACCGATTAAAACAAAACAAAAATTCTTTCGTTTTGCAAAAAAAAATCTAATTTGTTCTGCAAAAACATATACACAAAAAAGAATATACAATATACATACACACATCTTGTCAAAACAACATGAAAAATATTTTTCACCTACCTACTTACTGGGTACCCTGAGAGGCGAGTTGGTAAAGGGGAAACAAGCAATTTTTTAAGGGTGGCCCTACGGGCGCAACGACTTACGCACACGGACAGGTTAGATGAGGGTGAAGCGAAGGTGAGACGCGGTTGAGGCATGTGTAAGACTGGGTAGGTGTGGGTGCTGCAGTGTCGAGGCATCAGTAGGGCTGAAGGGGTCGTTGTCATATCAGGTACTACAGATATGTACCCGAGGTACATATATGTATACACAAAGTGTACCAGACTTGTACTACAGAAGTGTACCCTAACCCTAACCCTAACCCTAACCCTAGCCCTAACCCTAAACATACCTCATATAAAAATATAAACATGATACTAAACAACCTAAAACTACCTCGGGTACATATCTGTTGTACCTGATACGACAACGACCCCATCTGCATCAGTAGGATGGGGGGTGAACCAGCGACGAGGAAGGCGTAGGGCATCGGGCAACGCACGGGGGTTAGTCAAGAATCAGGCACGCGTGAAGCGAGAGCAAATGGAACAAAGAAGCTGCATCTAAGGACTTCATGAAGCACTCTGCTCATCACGCCACGTTAATACGACATGTGACATGTGACATGTGACATGTGACATGTGACATATGACATGTGACATGTGACATGTGACATATGACATGTGACATGTGACATGTGACATATGTGACATGTGACATGTGACATGTGACATGTGACATGTGACATGTGCCACAGAAACGCAGCCTAGTTCGAGGCACGGGTTTCCCTAGTACCAACACCAACATCAGCACCACCGCCACCACCAGCAGCAGCAGCAGCAGCAGCAGCAGCGCAGCACGCACATCACCACCACAGCAGCCAGCAGCACCACACCGACCACGACCAGCAGCAGGCAGCAAGCAAGCACCACCACACACCAGCAGCAGCCAGCCAGCAGCGAGCCACCACCACCACCACACAGCAGGCAGCACGCAGCCCAGCCAGCAGCGCAGCAACCACCACCAGCCACAACGAGCAGCAGCCAGCAGCAGCAGCAAGCCACCACCACCAGCAGCAGCACCACCACCAATCCTATACATTGATGGCCTACATATCTGTTGCTTCGCAAATCCGCATTAACCCAACTTGGCTGCGACTAGTGATGCTATGGCCTACGTTGGGGGCGGGTTACGATGATACTATGTAATCCAGTGCTCCATTATCGATGCGTCAACCACCTGTCACACGGTGAGTAATTAGACACAGTTAAAGTTAAATACGCCACCCATGCGCACACGCTGACACACAACCACACGCAACGCACGCACACACCACGCACACGCCGCACGACCATGGACAACACACACGCACGCACACACACGCTGACAGCTGCACACACGCACGCACGCACACACACGCACACGCCGACGACCTGACACACGCACGCACACACACGCACGTGCACACACACGCTGACAGCCTCACACACGCACGCACACACACGCACACGCTGACGACCTGACACACGCACGCACACAC